GACTGAGAGAACTCGATTCGATTTACCGAAGAGTCTTGCATTATTAACCGTAATAGTCACTGTTTACAAACCCACACTTCCTCCCCTGAGAGCACAACCGTATTAATTTTTTCAGGAGCATATATATATATATATATATATATATATATATACACACACACACACACACATATATATATATATATATATATATATATATATATATATATATATATTATATTCCTCAATCCAGCAGAGTTTGAATTTCAGTCGATTACATTCACTTACGTGCTAACACCCTTGGGAAAGGTATGAATCCTCTTCTCCCTCCAGCTATGGGTAAAATAGCAGGACAGACTGGGTTCTATAGCCTTGGATGGCAACTGGTCTAGGAGAAGGACAAATCTGAATTCAAAACCTGCGGAGGATCGTTTGGGGACCTTGTGGCACGTAGTGCACCAGGCCTCTGAATTCGGTCCTTCAAAAAGGTGTGGATGGTCCTGCACGAAACTTTCACCAATACAATCAAATCTCATGTGCTGTTGTCGGGCTGTCAGTTTCCTAGGAACTGATCTGCTTGACCCTCATACGTCGATTTCGACGGGAGAGTTGAGAGTATATATATATATATGTGTGTGTGTGTGTGTGTGTGTGTGTGTGTGTGTGTGTGTGTGTGTGTGTGTGTGTGGAGCCTGAGGTTACAAATGAAGTAATCTGAAGGTGCCGCTGTCGAAGGCAGGATTATTTTTCCCTTAATATTAAACAGTTGAATCATTTCCATACTGGCATCCTACAGACGTAATTACATGCGTTTTCTTAGTTATTTGGTGTGTGTGTGTGTGTGTGTGTGTGTGTGTGTGTGTGTGTGTGTGTGTGTGTGTGTGTGCATGTTTGTGTGTGTAAGAGAGAGGCAGAGAGATTTAGCATGTGTGTGTGTGTGTGTGTGTGCCTACGCGTGCGTGTGCGTGAGGCAATATTTCTATTAAAGTTTCCAAATATCTCTTTGCTACAGTTTTTGTATCACATCGTCTCTGTTATTACCGGACTTTTCATTGTTATTTCGCGTGGCCAAGTTATAAGAATAACCCTGGACCTTATACAAACCTCGCAATGCCTTTGGCAATATATTGGTTGGGGCCGTGCCCACAATCTATCACGTAGGCCTCACCTCCAGACCATGTCAACTGCCAACGTCTACGCAAGAAATAAACACGTCTACCTTGCCTTTGGAGGTTATGCATAAATAGATACCTTACAAGCATTTTCTCATTTTTATTTATTTTACCTTTCTTTCTTCTTCTTTTTACTTTCTTCTTCTTCTTCTTCTTCTTCTTCTTCTGCTTCCTCTTCTATACTACTACTACTAGTAGTAGTAGTTGCAGTAATAGTATACTATGCATTTTTTCTTTATTCTTGTTTATTTTATTTTTACCTAATCTACCTGTTTTCTTTCTTTCTTTCTGTCTTTCCGTTATTCTTTCTTTCTTTCCGTCTTTCTTTCTTTCTTTCTTTCTTTCTTTACTCTATCCCCCATTTTTTATCTTTCTTTCTATTCTGTCCTTTCTCTTCTATACACCTTTTTCGATCATCATCATCATCATCATCATCTTCATCTTCTTCTTCTTCTTCTTCTTCTTATTATTATTATTATTATTATTATTATTATTATTATTATTATTATTATTATCATTTTCCTCCACATCTGTGCATTTCTTCCTTCTCTCTATTTCAAAATAGTAGTTCACCCTCTTTCATATTTACACACACACACACTCTCTCTCTCTCTCCTCCTTCTCTCTCTCTCTCCTCCTTCTCTCTCTCTATCTCTCTCTCTTTATCGTCTTCCAGCGAAGAGCAAGTCAAGCCTTATAGAAAACGTATCTCAAACTAGCATCGGTACTGGGAACACCTCTGTTAATCAATGTGCTACCGTAGGTGCCAAACAAGCCACCCTCTCTCGGTATTATTTCTGCTCTAACACAGGATCGAAGTAGTAGCGTAAACGTACGAAAGCAATGCCACTGGGAGTTTTTATACGATTTTTAATCAGCTCTTTTTATAAGAAACTGTCGGCGAATTTAAGTAAATCTTAAGCTACGGACGTCGCTGTCACTTAGGCAAATATTAGGTTGGATCAAAAGTACTAATTTTTTTTTTTTTTTTTTAGGTAACGTTTAAAAAAGTGATTTCGTTTCACACGGGGACAAATTTATTTTATATATGGTAATGGTAATATTCACATAACTAGGAAAGACGACTTGAAAAATCTGATACTCAAGAAATAATTGAAGGAAAGAAAGATATAGGAAACACCGTATAGCATACTTATTAAATGTATGGCAGAACAGGGTTTAGAAGAAAGAGCAAAAAGACCATATTGCTGCAAAAGACAGGAAATTATCACCTACGATCTGAAAGAACACGGCACATAGAAGAAGAATGATGACAATAGCCTTTTCCTTATAAGGAAACATTCGAACTATCGTTCTATTGTCGGTTGATAGATTAAAATGTTTCTCTTAAAATAATGTTTTCGAAAAAAAATATCTCTCTCAAATCACCGACACATCCAAACATTTGGAATTCGTTTATCGAATAGTTATGCTTTCGTCGCTTGATATATATATATATAAAATAATTCTCTTCAAATAATCTTTTCGAAAAAATATGTCTCTTAAAACAGTTTTCCGGGAAAATGTCTCACAAATTCCCTGTCATCGATCTTTCCAGTATTAATGGGGACTTCCTTCTTAACCTTTTGTTTTCTTTATGAACCTTTTATCGTGTTGGAAGTCAACGTTTTAATCATGTCATTACTTCCTAGTTACATGTGCCAACCATTTCAGTTTTTGCTATTTTTAAAGATCCGCAACTAATGTGGTGCCTTTTATTTGGTATAGGTCTTTGCGATTCTCCAGCGCTAGTTCACAAAAACCGGAGAAGGATGGCCATTACAGGCTTCACTATGTTAAAGCTATCTTTAATCATTGATCTGAGAAAGCGGTTGTGTACAGCTGACAACTTAGACATTTCTGGGCCAGTTGGACGCCATGTCTGCCTTCCATATCAGTGTCTAGTTCGGAAGAGTCTATATAAGAACATAGACTGAGTTCTTAGGTTAATGATTTGGCTTTGTAGCATCTTGATGTCTTAGACAAAGATGGCCCTAACGCAGCTTATTATACATTTTTCCTCATCTCCTATACTAAATTTGTTAGTACATTTCTATATACGAATGTATTTGAAATAAATTTAATATTTATTAATTCTACATTCTGAATATTTAAAGATGGATTCAGTGTTTCTGCTATCAGTGTTTTCATCCTAATTACAAACCGTAGTATCTATATACATTTTTTGAAAGATAACAATTCAAAGCCGACTCAACACCGGTCAACTGATCTCCGTGACAACTCAACTACAGGACTACTCACCACTCAACCTAAGGGCGAGGACAACTCAACGCTGGCGCCGAATTTAAAGCTTCTCTTAGATCAGTTTTTTTTTATACCTTACATATGTGCCTAAGTCTGTATAAATTTTCATTGGAATATATTAATTTTTTTTATTAAAAAAAATGGTTTTTATGACACTGTGTTGATGGCAGACACAGAAAAAAATGCATATATTCCTTCACAAAATAAACAGGGAAAAACAAGCTAACACCAATTATAAAAGTCCTGAATATATTGTCGTCAGCAATTGGTACAACGCAATCTACAGAATAGAGATATTAAAATCAAGTAAGTAAAGAAATTTCAAGTGTTTTAACTGACGTCGAAGCGCATTTGAATAGCGAATGATTGGTTTGGTTTGTTTTACGGCATATCAATCTAAATGGGTTAATTAATGCCGACATAAATTTGTATTGCTGGTAATATTTTGTTTTATCAAAAATCTATTTCTGGTAATATTTTGTCCTCAAAAATGTATTGTCTGTAATATTTTTTTTTCAAAAACGTATTGTTGGTTTAGTTTGGTTTCTTTTGTTTTACGGCATATCAATCTAAATGGGTTATTTAATGCCGATAAAATTTTTTATTGTTGGTAATATTTTTTTTCAAAAATCTATTTCTGGGAATATTTTTTTTCTTCAAAAATCTATTTCTGGGAATATTTTTTTTCTTCAAAAATCTATTTCTGAGAATATTTTTTTTCTTCAAAAATCTATTTCTGAGAATATTTTTTTTCTTCAAAAATCTATTTCTGAGAATATTTTTCCTTCAATAAATTTATAGCTGGTAATTTTTTTAAATGCAAAGCTGTTTGTATTGCTTTTTTTTTTTTTTGTTTTTTTTTTAATGCATTGCCGATAATAATTTTTCCTTAAAAATTTATTGTTGGTAATTTTTTTTACAAAGTATTTCTGGTATTAAAACCTATTTTTACACATGTTTGGGTGTTAACTGTTTGCCTATAGCTGGAACCGTATCACGTGCTACCACGTCGGGTTAGAGTGGACCTGGCAACACCAGCAATTAAGAGGTGGTTTCACGGTCCTCAAAACCTTTTGATCAGCAGAGACCTTGCTGCTGGATGTAGTTTATCGTCTTACCCAAGACGCGGATGTAGTTTATCGTCTTACCCAGGAAGGAATATCGAATGATGCTTTCTAATATCTAAACAAGTTGTTAAGAAACGGGAAAATTTCTTTAGAAACAAAAAGACTGCTAAACTGCTATATAATATCAATCTTCCTATTTGACAGTAAATTCTAGATAATTTCTTCACAGATAAATAGGATATTTGAGGTTAAAGTGATGTGGTCATATAGAACAATGGGAATACAATGGACGGAACATTTGAGCAACGAGGAAATTTTAAGGAAAATACAAGCAAAACGGACATTTATACTTAGAAGCATAAAGATAATTTTGGGGGACACATAATGAGGAAAGGAGACTTGGAGAATTTGGCACTCGTAGGAGGAGGGATACAGGGAAAGAATGAGTAACAAGCTTAGTAAATGGATGGCAGAACAGGGATTTATAAAATTTACTAAGAGTTATAAAACACAGGGAGCTGTGGGGAGCCATAATCCCAAACGTACTGAAGAGACACAGCACAAAAAAAAAAAAAGAAGAAGAAGAAGAAGAAGAAGAAAAAGAAGAAGAAGAAGAAGAAGAACATCATCTGAGAGAGGATTCTACTCAGCTGTTTACACCGTATGCAACGACAGCCATCTCAATCTACTCTACTATGTCGGGATGGTGAAATGACAATATTTACTAAGAGCTAAAAATGATAGCGAGTTGTCAAGAGCTATGATCGCCCATGTAGTGAAAGGACATGGCACATCAAAGAAGAAAAAGATTTGTGGCCCTATGCAATAAAAATGTCTCTCGTCTATTAGGAATTTTTATAATTCCTGACAACCACAGCCGAACTTTGTTGTTAAGAACGAGCGGAGAGTAAAAAAAGTATGATACTATTTAAGTGTCACTGATAGTCGTTGAAAGGAATCTGACATAGGATTATGAAAAGGGTTCATATGAGAACCAGGATCTTAATAGAGCATTAGAAGGGCTGCAATATGGAAATTATTGAAGTGAAAAGATTTCGATATCAGGTAATGAAAAAAATTATGAAATATGATTTTCTTGACTGTGCAGAAGATTATTTAACAAGCCAACATATTTCTTTTTTCCTTAATTAAAATCGTGGAATTTTTTTCATTAATTAAATGTAAACAAAAAGAAAGAAAAAGACTTACCAAAACGTTGGCGCATGTGCAGGAAAGGCAAAACTGTAAAGCGCGTTCAAATCACCCCATTAAACTTAAATCTGCAGACAGCAGATAAAACAAAATCTGATTGTCTAATGCAAATTCCAATGCCATTATAAAAGTAAGATCTACCTCCTAATATAATGAATATATTGTTGTTAAAACCACAACGTAGAGGGAATTATGCGGAGAGGTGGCCTGTTAAAAGGTCGGGGTACCTGGTAGAATGTATATGATGTTGCAATACCCGAAATTCATAATGAAACCAGGGTAACATCACTGATGACTTCTACTGTTACATTTTATAAATATATTTCAAGAATAAAACAATAAGATATTAAATCGGTTGTTTTTGAAAATGACATTTAACACGTATTTGTTAAACGTGAAATTGTTTTGTTTTGATAAGAAAAGCCGATCGCCGCAGGAAATATTTGGGTTGTATTGGAAATGTAAACAATTGTTTATTGTTTTGAAAATGGACAAAAGAATTTGTCGAGGCTAAGAAATTATTGTTTGAAGAAAGGGAAGGATTCCTAAATGCAGAGCGAATTCTTTGCAGATGTGGAATACATTTTTATATACGAATATGAATTCGTAAACAATAATTGTGGAGTAACAAATGAATGTAAAAACAAAAGTTATATTGTTTTAAATAGTTGAACCATTATGGAGAGTCAGGTGTTGTCAATTCAAGTTCGAGGAAAATGAATATTAATGAATCGGGAGGCGTGGTCAGAGTTATGCGAAATGTATATAAACCATACACTTCTTGACGCCGAGGAGAGATTTAGGGCGAAGAGATGGAGCAGTCGCAGTTGACCGAGAAGCGATCCGAGGGTGCTCAAGCCCGGCCATGAGTCGGAGACGTCGGAAGACGCCGGAAGTAGTCACGTATCCTGCTGTCGAAAGAGAGTTACCGAGCAGAGTATTGCTGATGTTGAGCCGGAAAGAGAATAGCTGACGTGGAGACTTGAAGACTCGAAGTGCCGACGATCTGATATCTTGCGTGAATGTTTAAACCGCTCCAAGTGTAGAACAGATTTTTCTTGTCACTAGATTTCACGGAACGGGTTAATTTTGTGTACCGACAGTTATATAAAACCATTGAAAATTAACGCAGCGTCTTTCTTCGTGATTTATTATAATTTGAACTCCGCCAACGGATCTATCGTTGTCCTTTATTTTTCATAGTACGGTTCGAACAACACGGTTCAGTGTTTAAGTACGGACGAAAGTTCGATCTTCAATTCATCCTGATTAATCAATCACAACGTAAGAAGACTTGATGAAGAAACGAAGCGGTCAACGGATAACTAACAGTTTACCAGCGCCAGTACTGATCAGCGTGGGAAAGACCCTGGATCGAATCGGGACGGCCTTGTTATAAGTACACAAACGTTGCCCTCATTCTGGTAAACAGATTATTATTTTTTTACTTTTTTCATCCAATACATGATCTATGAGACACTCAAGATAGTAGGTTACTGAACGAGGTTATTGTGAAGGACAGGGAAGAAGGAGAAAGCAGGAAGTGGATACTATGAGTATATTTACGATATATAACAATTGACTTAAAGAATGTAATGGTTAAGAAACACCCTCTCAGGAGTCTGTTCTACAAAGTAAGACTTTTGAGAAAAAGAAGCTGTGTAGAATTCATTGCTTACCAAAGGAACACAAATCAAATATGGTTGATTTACCAAAATGAGCAAAGTTGTGAAGGTCGGAATTGGTCGGACTAATGGGTGTAAATCATTAGAACATTTGCTGTAGAAATAGTTGTAGAGTAGCGA